AAAATTTCCAACTTCTAGATTCCTACGGGTTTTTTTTGAGATATTGCTCAAGGAGTTTTGCTAGCCTGCCATCTTAAAAATCATACTTTGGCTGATTGCGACCCATTTAGCCAAGACAAGGCGTCGAACACATGCTGCTAACCCAGGATTGTGCAACATTTGTGAAGGAAATGGGATTCGACGAGGAATGGGTTCGGGAGGTGACCCGCTTCGCACAGGAGAAAGTTTATGAAAACAACTATGCATATGGAGAGGGAAAACAAACTACTATTCCCAGTTCGTACGCCAAATTAGACGTCATCTTGAGCCGCCGGGGTGGGATACGACCCCCGGAAAAGGCTTGCGTCAAATGGATTCAGCAATCAGAAGAACCGGGAGATTACCTAAGCGACCATTCTGTGATCCTTTTTAATCTCATGGAGGAGAAAAACAGAGCATTGAACATCCAAGCTTCGCCAAAGCACGCGATATTTCTTAATGCCCCGTTTGAGTTAGGGCAAACCGTCACTCTGGAAATTACTAACCACGGCGAGGGCTTTGATTTTTCCTTGGAGTCCCCTCACCTTCAATGGATTTATGTTGGTGATTGTGGCCATACGGACAGAATGCTATCGGTCAGCAAAAATTCTACAAAATACCTGAAGCTCACGTTCAAAGTGGCAGCCACCACCTCAGTGGAACGAAAGATGGATCATCTGACACCGGCTGGGACACATTGGCTGATATTGACTCAAAAGGGGACCGGGGAGCAGTACCACTGGCGTGTCCTGTTCAACAACGAGACTGAGGCTTCGCTGGCTCTTTAAAGATTTTCCTACTGTTTTTTATATTTTTTTTTAGCTTTGAAGAATGATTTTTTTTGTAGTCGTAGATCATCCTGTTTTCCAAATGGGTGGTTCGAAGATAAAGCTGAATAAAAACCGGGTTAGTTCCCAATGACACATTACGCCATGGGATATCATAATAAATCTAACATTTGCGGCCTACGTTCGCTAACCCCGCGAGACCTTGACAGCAAAAAGCCATCAATGATAGAGGGCATAAGAGGGAAACAGCGGCGGGTGGGCGGGACGAACATTGCTTCTAAAATAATTACTTCTAAAATCATTATTTCTAAAAGTTGGGACGTCGGATTATCAGTTTTTCGGCACGTTTGGCGATATTTTTGCTCAAATCGAAGCTAAAAATTTTAGAAGTAATGGGTTTAGAAGTAATGTTTTTAGAGCTATGTATTTAGAAGTAATGCCTTCTAGAAGTAAAGATGAGTAGCCAAGTGGAGGCAATCGAGATTTTTTGGGCCAAGGATTGATCATTTTTAGTAAAGTATTATATAGTATTTTAAGCCACGAATATAACGGTTGTTGCAGGTCCGCCGGATCGTTGCCCGCCATGAAAAGAGGAATCGCAGACGAAAAAGGAAAAGGGCAGGGGACTCCCGGGACGAAAGTGATTTTCTGGAATGCGGAAACGTGCACTGAATCAAAAATTGAAGCTTTGGCGGAGCTAATGTGCCTGAATGTGGTCCATATATGCTTCCTTTTTGAACTGCCGTTCAGCGATGGGGAATTATTATCGAATTCATTAATCGAACGGCTTAATCAAATTGATCCGCGATGCCAAGACCAGACGCATAGTTTTATACACATCACTGCACCAAAGCTGAAAAATTCTACTGATCAAACTTGGCGAACAATCGACGCGATAATCTGGTATGACGGAATAGACGCAAAGCCTGAGACGCGAAATCATCCCCGTTACTGCGATGTTCGTGAAGCTCCCCGAATTTCTCGAATGGGCCTAAAAGTGGGCACAGAAGGATACGCTTGCTTTTATCGGCCACCCCACGAAATTCTCAGGGATTGGAATTATCATCAGGTGCAGGATTCAATAAAATACCAGCTGCAACGAATCTGGGACCTCGGAAATGTATTGCGATGGGCCTTCTGGGACTGCACTGTTTTTGCATTTGGTCAGCCGAACCTTCCTGGATTAAACTGGTATGAAGAAGCACGGAGGCCAGGAGCTAGCTATAGCCTTCACAGTGGTTGGCGCAAGAGAATGGACGAACGAACAGAATGGGTCCGCCAACCGACACATTCTGATGGCAAACAGCATAGTGTCATACTGACAAGGTCGGAAAGCATACGCCTCAAAACGAAACCACTAGTCGTTAAGGTCGTCAAAGAAGGCGATGAAAAGTACGACAACCACTACCTCCTAGAGGAACATTACGCTATAATATTCGAGACGATCAAGGACAGAAAACTGCGGATCAAAGCCGAGCCTAAGTTTGCCGTATTTTTTAATGGGTGCCATGAACAGGAATACAAATTGAAGGTGGAGAACATTGGGGAAGAAGCCTTCGAATACCAACTCCGCACTGATCACCCCGGCGCAATTCGATTGACACCAGATGCGGGGATGCTGACACGCGGCAAACCTGTTTATTGCAAAATTACGGTGGAGCCGTTTGTCGCTCCAATTGTGCCTGATTGTCGGTGGATCTATTTGAAGCACAAGGAAACCGGTGAAGAGTATTATTGGCGAATTTTCTATAACGAATCCGATGAAGCCTCTGAGGCTTTCTGAACTAGCCGCCCCTCACAGCTGAAAACTGGTAAGCAACGCATTTTGCTTCGTAGCACATTAACTATAAAATAGCACAATAAAATATTTTTATTTAGATATCTCCGTCTTCAAATGGCGACTCCGACACAAGCCCATCCTTTCAAAAGAATGTTTTTTTATAAATAAATCGCAAATAAAAGAAACTTTTGAAAATCACAGCGGATTTTGGCTCAAATACTCAAATATTTTAACTTAAAATAGTTAGCGGTTTGACGGTCCAGATTGCAAATGGAATGCAAAATGCAGCTCAAAAGCATGAAGCTGCAGCGCAGCTTCTATTTCGAGCCTCGTTTTAGATTAGACATCAAAATCGAATGAGGCGGCACTCCTCTCAATAAGAGTGGTGATAAGAAAGCGCTGGCAAAAAACGCAGAGCCTGGGCACTTGCTGCGGTCGTTTAAAGCCGCACCATAGTTCTGGGCCTCCTAAACGTCTGCAGAAATCAAAGCAAGGAGTGAAAAGGTATCTGTTATTTTTATCTCCCATACCTCAACTTTTTTTTGCCACTCTTGGCTCCTATAGTTTTGTTCTGGGTGGTAGTTACTTTTCTCATCTCGCCTTTCTTCCAAAAACTCAATTTTTTTATTTCCGTTCAGACCCAAATTTATTTCCCCAAATTCAGTTTTTTTTTAAATCTCCGTTAGATTTTTTCGTTTGCCAGGAATTCGCTTCTCCAAGCTTTTAAGAACCTAGGTTGTTGCGGTCTTTCTTCGAAATTCGCTTGATTTTCCTAAAAGTCTTAGGAAACAGTATTACTAAGGAAATAAATCGAATTTTTCCTTAGATATGTGTATTTTTTAAGGCCAGTTCGAAATCCAATTCCGACCCGCGATTTCGAAGAGTTCAACAACGCTAGTGTTTCTCAGCCGTTAGATAGTAAGTCAAAATTAGTGCTTTAAGTGGCGGGTAGCCATAATACAAAAATTAATGTAGCAAAGAAAATAAGATGAGTAGGCTTTAATTAAATATACATTACAGCCAATAGACTATTTCAGCTAATATGTCTCTCTGCGAAAAGCAAAAAGGTTTAATCTCTTTTTGCAGGGAAAGATCCTTGCCACACTTCTGAAGCCGTCACTACGATGTCGGAGAATCGCCTAATGTCGGATACACAATCCGAAATTGAAACTGTTTCCGAAAATGCCGCAAAATCTGGCAAAACCGGACCTGAAGCTGCAGCGAAAATCGATAAGCCACAAGGTGATGCCAGCCAGAAAGACAGAACAGAAACTGAATCGAGCGCCCAGCCTCCAAAAAATGGCCGAGAACCCGGAAGTGATGCTAATCCAACGGTTACTTCTAACGTCCAACCTTCACAAAATGACGAAAAGCCGAAAAGCGGTATGAATCCAGAAATTTTGGTATCCAGCCAAGACACCGAGCTGCCAAAATACACCTACATGTTCTGGAACATTAATGGCCTCACCAAAACTGTCGTGAAGCAGCTCGATAAAATCCTTTCCGATCATCAGGTCGACATCGCCTTTTTGGCCGGAATCCACCTGGACAAGATCAACGCCGACAAGCTGCTCCGCACCCTCAAGGAATTCACCATCCGTGGCTATGTCAAAGGCATCTATTACACCTCGAATAAGCAAAATGCGGACGAAATTGATCGGGTGAACAATTTGGTGTTGTACCGTACCTCTACGGTAGTCTCGCCAAAGGTCGAGGCGAAAGAATTTGCGATGAATGCTTATAAGAACGACCGAGTTTTAACGCTTGCACACGACGATTTATTCTACATATTCCTACATCGAAAAGCGAGCAATATGACTGGCAGCTGTCTCGAATTCGCGGAATGGTTTGACGACGTGATTTCGAATCGTGATAATGTTCTCTTTTTCGGCAGCTTTGAGCTTCCCGGAAATGATTGGGATATTTTCGAGACCAGGAAGAATGTTGTAAACCCAAAAATCCATCAGGACATGATCAAATTTCTCAAGCAGCGCGGTTTCACTCGTGAATGGGTACGCGAGGACACAACTGCCGAGGGTCAGAGTGATGTCTTATTTTCAAGGAGACAAAACGATGGAGGTCCTCAAGGAGTTCAACCGTCAGGGAAAGCTCATGCTCAAAAGCATGCTGGGCGTGAGAATAAGGCTATATTTTTCAACGTTGAGAAGAAGCCCTGGAATATCGTGACGAGCCCATCGAGGAAAATTTATTTGAATTCGCCATTTTCGGAGCCACGGACGTATCTTTTGGAGATCGAGAATCGAGGAGAAGAATTGATCAAGATTGAGGTCGAGAGTAGCGCTGAGCCTCTACAATTTCCAGACGAGTACGAGGTTTTGAAGACGGTTGGACTAGGAGCAAAAGCAGCAAGGGTTTTGCAAATTCAAGTCAGGCCCTTCAAACCGCTAAGGGACGAGACCGATTGGGTAATTCTGAAAAATTGCGCTACCAAGGAGCAACACCATGTGAAAATTGTCTATAATACCTAACAATTTTATTTATGTGTTTTTATGTATTGCATCCTTTTAAAATCTCAATTTTTCTAATAAATCCCTTAATCAAGGATTTCTTTCGATAGCTTACGTTTATGAAGCGGCACATTTTTAATAAATCTCGTAACCTCAGATTAGACCTCAGACACGTTTTTAACAAATCAGAGCATACGCTGAGTATGAGCATGAGCGCTTCTTGCCGTCCTGGAATTTTCCGCCAGAATTCGATAAGTTACGGGTCGAAGGAGAGAAGCCTTAAGGGAAGCTTTGAAAACAACCCTTATAATTTCATTAATTTATTATCTTACGTGCAAAAAGCAGATAGAAGTCATCGCTTGCTAGATTCTTGAATCGCTCCTTCGATTCTATGTTTTTAAATGCTTGCATAGTCACAGTTTTTCGGTTCTGGACTATTAGCGGTGGGGGATTCAAATAACCCCCTTATGTTTGTCCATCTCTACCGCCAACCTGTTAGTGATATATAATGTATCTTCATACTGTTTTTAGCAGTTTTTGATCGTTAAAAGGTAAAAAGGTATTGCAATAACTTTTGAAAATTCGAGAATTTTGATTTTTTTTGGTCATTTTCCGACATTTTTGAATCTTCGAATCTTCGAAAATTTTGATTATTTTCCACTGTTTTTAAATTTAAAAGCGATGTAAGATGCTATAAACATAGTCTAGATCTTGTTATAGGGCGGTAGAGAACCACAGGGAAAATCTGGTTCCCCTCCCCGCTAACCTCCCTCCCCCTCCCGCTAACAGCCCAGAACCAGTTTGTCTAATCTAGCCCAAAACCTAATCTTCATTGATTTTTCAGCTTTTTGGAATAAATCCCTTTACATTCCATGACCGTTGGTACCCCCTAGAGCCTAATTGCAAAAAAACTGTCCGGTTCGCCTTCAAAATTGCGAATAAATACAATTTGTTCAGCGGCGTGCGTTGATGTAACGCGAGAGAATTCAGGAAGTGCACCTTTCAAGGCAGAGAATGAGAGAAGCGATGGCAATTCGGCCTCGGTTGATCCCCGGGCCCATAAACCTTCGCAGGTCGTTTCGGCTAGATCGGCTGCATGTGTTTGTCGGGCGCAGGCTGAACATTGGAAAGAGGGGGAGGTTCAGGGAAGAGGGAAGGAAGCATCGACCTTCGGCCTGCTGGGTTAGATCTAAAGTTCGATACGATTTTCTCGCCCAAATCACACCTATTTTCTGCAACTTTAGAACGCTAGAACCTGGCTGCAATGATTTTACCTAAAAATCATTTTGTTGGAGTTCCCCGACATTGCACTCCTTCGGCGAATTGGTTTAGAAAACGAAACGAAAAATAAGTCTAGGAAACCTCACTTTAGAAAAATTCCAGGGATTTGTGACCTTTTAGTATCTTCCGTTCTGCTAACTGTGAAGCTTCCTAAAAGCACTTTCAAGCACTACCAATGACGGCCTGGCAAAACAATTTACAAATAATACAAATTACAAATGATAATTTAGTATCTATCCGTTTCTGCGCCTGAAAGTCTTACTGTCGGCTTAATCCGGACGTGAACCCATTACGACGATTTTTTAACTTTGTAAACAGTTTGTAAATTTCTGAAACTGAATGAGGACGGTCCCTTCAAAATTGTTTTACCCCTCTATTCTTGGATTTTCGTACAGTGATGATGCGCTTTTACCAAACGGCAATCGCTAAAAGTATAAAAAGTGCGAGTTGGTGGCGGGAAACGCCATGGCCGCACCGTCACCCTCTTTCAGTTTCCGCAGATCGGCCCGTCGATAAAATGGCACATATCGTTTTGCCGATATATAATATAGCAATTGCATCGTAGACCAGGGCCGTAACAAACCCGAAATTTCAGGGGGGGGGGGGAGCGACGTCAAAAATTTTTCACTAATATGACTAAACCTGCACCGGGTTATAAAAATATAGTATAATACTACATTTTTGGAAACCTAGGGTTTATAACACTAAAACTAGTGTTAAAAATAGCCAAAACAGCGCCGCAGACAAAAAAATTTTTGGAAAAATAAAATCATATTCCCTCATTATGAAATATCCGGCCTTCGGCCGATTTCGGGCGGGGGGGGGGGCTCGCCCCCTCGCCCGCCCCCTCTTACGGGCCTGTCGTACACCGTCCCGTCCTTCGTTTGAAATATTTGCTTGAAGTCGGTTACTCATTTCTTGTCCGTCTCTCTCTCCCGCTCTCTCTCGCTCTCGCTCTTTCTCCCCCTCGCTCTCGCTCCCTCTCTCTATCCATCTCTCTCACTCTCTTTCTTTCTCTCGCCTTTTCTCGCGCTCTTTCTCTTTCTTTTTTTTCACTCGTACTCTACTGTGGATTTTTCCGCCGGCTTAACCCCCGATTATAACCGGACCGACGCTTTCCAGCCATGTCTGGCCTTACACCAGCGGCCTCAAGTTCAGACGCGGAGCTCCAGCAGTTGGCGACAGAAGAGACTAGGTTTGCAAACCATGAAAATAATCTTCGATCTGAATGTCTAGCCGTATTTCCTAGACGTAGTTAGGGTCCCCCAGTACAATATGTAAATTCCTGGTCACTGGGCCTGGGATTATTCGCAAGGCGTGCGCTTAAAAGGTAGGGAGCAAACAGTATTACTCGATGTTGGGGGTTCGATGACCTTGCTTAGATTTGACTGGCTACCTTTTTACAGTAAAGTAAACGATTAAGAGTAAACCAAGTAAACTAGTAACTAAACGAGTCAACTATTCGCGATCTTTGGATCGGCTCAACGGATACATTTAGATCCGAATCAGATGGCGTTGAAGAAGTGACTCGGCTTCTGACGGACAGCTTCAGGCAAGTTCTTGCTGCTTGAAGATAGCTTTTCCGGGTCGAAAGATCGGAAGATGCTATTTTTTCTTACCCACGTGCCCGCATACGTCCGAAAATGACATGGCGGGGCGTGCAAACTACAGGGTAAAACAAAAACGCGTTATTTGGTCGTTCGCCCTATCGGTCCCGGGTCGTCTTCGCTTCGCATGCTTTTCGAGTTCGAACCATCCTACTAATTTTTAGGGAATAGGCGCATTGACACTAATTTATCGAACATCCTTGCTATCGAAATTAGCCAAAGAAACGCTTTGTTAAGAAATTGCTACAACAGAAAATCGGCAAAATTTTGAGCGAAAAGAGGGATTTTCAGCGCGAAGCTGATGCAAATTGCTACGAAGCGAAATAATGCCAAAAAAGTTAAAGAATGTTGAAAATGCAGCATGTTAGTTCTCACTCTCAAATTACTGTACTTATCGGGTTCACGTCAGGGACGGGGCTATTTAGGGTGCAATGCAAGTGGGTTTGGGACCGTCGATAGTTTTTGGATAACCTGCCGTTTCAGGAATTTTCGCGGCTCCGAAGCGGGAGCAACAGACACAGCAATCGCGAACAAGCGCCAAGACATTGTCCAAAAGGCACAAGATGTGGTAGCCGACCCAGGAGCAGTGCCTGAGCTTAGAGAAGTCAAAACCGACGTGCCGGAAGAAATCATACGGAAAGCCGAAGAGCAACCACAAGGTTCCATGTACCAAATTGAAAGCCAACTAGAAGTGTTCGAGGGCCCAGGAGAAATCGTCGAGCCCGGAGAAGAAACGCCCGTACAGAAAGAAACTGGAAGGCAAGAGGAAAATCGAGAAGAAATAGCCAGGCAGACAGGCGGCAAATATGCGTTCCTATTCTGGAACATCAACACACTCAAAAGAGACACCTCAGAAAACAGCGCTTGGGCCTTGCTAAAAGGATTGCTAAGTTCGACGGGCAACCCGATATTAATGTGTTTTTTGTGTGAAGTTCATCAAGAACCAAATGAACTGGGGCAGCACGCAGCAGAAGCTAGGGAAATTGGCTATAAAATGGTGATACCTCGGGTAGAGTATCTAAATGGAGACCCATCGGCGGAAAAATGCCGTAATTTGGTGTTGCTACGCCACGATGTTGCAACAGATATAGAAGGCGTTACGACCATAGAATTTCTACACGAGCGCATTAAGACCGACCGCCTAACCTACCTTGCACATGACGAAGTGCTCTATATTTTTATTCATCGCCAAACACGCGGTGGAAATAAAACCGAGGTAAGAGCAGATCGTTTAATCGCAGAAAAATTAAGGGACCTAGTGCGTGGACGCAACCATGTGCTATTTTTTGGCGATTTCAACACTGGCTATATCGATTGGGAGCGACTAGTGAACTCGGACCGTCGAACAGCGCCACGTGCGCAAAGCATTATGGAGCTAATGGGGGATCTTGGATTTACACGGGAATGGGTGCGCGAACCAACACGTGAAGGTATGTGTCTCGATTTGCTATTTTCGAGACAAAACGGTGGCGCACCATATGGCGTCCAGCCAACCGGCAAATGCCACGTAATGGAAGCAAATGGAAGCGATCATAAAATATGCTTCTTCGGCATCATCAAGGAAAAACCTTGGCACATTAAGACAAAGCCTCTTTACCAATTCAACATCGGCGTGACTAACGGTAGCCCAGCCCTAAGAACGTACGATCTGAAAATCCATAACATGGCAGATTCAGAAATAAGCCTCAATATCCGGAACACCAGCATACACGGGTTCAAGATGCGCTTTTACGATAAAGTCCTGGACAAAGAACCAATAAGGGAGCCGCAGCAAAATTTCACAATTGAAGCAAAGCAATACCATCTGATCAAGTTAGAATTTATTGATGAACCGCGCCAGATTAGTGCGGGCACGGATCCCGATTGGATCATACTGACAAATGCTAAAACATATGAAGAACATCACATCCGACTCCGCTACTACTCGGCGCCCGCTGTGGCCACGTAATATTTTTGAGTACTTCATTATAAGAACCAGCACCCAAACCTCGCTTCGCGGGCCCTGGGCGCTGAAATGGGACCTTTGCATCAGAAATTTTACTTACCGATAGCGTGCGGACTAGCCTGGCCTTCCGAGCTCTCCGGGAGCCCCAAATACAGGATGTCCCAAAAAAAAATCCCCCCCCCCCCTAGCCGGCCGCAGACCTGTCCGATTTTTACGATTTGGGTATCTATCGAAAGCTCTCGCAAAGGCGAGTCCAGCACGGCTTGCCGATTTTCGAATTGTCGACATTTTTTTGCTCGATTTTCGGCCTTTTTCAGGCAAAAAGAACTCGCTTTTTTTGTCCAAAACGCAGTTTAACCGGTTTAAGCGCTATCCAAGCTGTGTTTTCGCAAACGGCTTTCAAAGAGCTGTCGTTGGGCTGCAAGTAAAGGCATAAAAAAATCTTAAATTGCAATTTTTGTAAAAAACGCCTTGTCAGAAAAACATCAGAAAATCCGCGCGTTTCGCAAAAAACATTAGTGATGATAAAAAAATTTCGACATTTCGAAAATCGGCAAGAAATTTCGAAAAAAAAGACGTGCTGGACTCGCCTTTGCGAGAGCTTTCGATAGATACCTAAATCGTAAAAATCGGACAGGTCTGCGGCCGGCTAGGGGGGGGGGGGGGGATTTTTTTTGGGACAGCCTGTATTAGGTTGTACAAAAAGTCTTGGCGGTTTTCGCTTTGGAATTTTTTTCTGAGAACAGGGGTGATGTCAGTCCTTAATGGTGCACCACCCGTTGAAGTGCTCTTGATGCTCTATCGAATAGCAGTATTCACATTGCCGTGAGATTTTTAGAAAGTTTTTTATATGGCAGCAAAGTTAGAACCAAAAAAGCACGATTTTCGTATTTTGTTTATAACTCCTCCAAGCTCCCCAAAAGAATAAAACCGGCCTGAACTTTCTGAACTTGTATTTTGTTGAAATTCTGAGAACGCCATCGGAAAGAGGAGGGTCGGACTCCTTCGAGTGATGGAGAATTGAGGCGTTTGATGCACGAAAAGGCGCTTAAATAAGGCTTCGAGAGTGACATCCAAACACACAGACAAAGATACGCGCCAAAATCATATTAAGTAGGAGCTGTAAGCATGGGCGACATCATGCACCAAACAAAATATGATCGAATTCCAGTGCCCAAAACCCGCTTCGCGGGCCTTGGGGCGCTGGAATTGGGCCTTTGCATGAAAAATTTGACTTTCCGATAGCTCGGATCCTTCGGACCCCTTCCCCCACCGACCACACACGCCTGTGCAAATTGCAAGAATGAGGAGATTTGTATTTTTCGTATTATGCAAATTACCCCCAAAAAATGAATAAAACCGGCTTTAACTTTGTAAACTTGTGTTTTATCGAAATTTTGAAAACGCCATCGGAAAGAGGAGCGTCGATTCCCCGTAGCGACGAAGAATTAGCGCATTTTATCCAGGGGAAGGCGCTTAAATCGAGCCTCGAAAGTGACATCCAAACACACACACACACACACACACACACACACACACACACACACACACACACACACACACACACACACACACACACACACACACACACACACACACACACACACACACACACACACACACACACACACACACACACACACACACACACACACACACACACACACACACACACACACACACACACACACACACACACACACACACACACACACACACACACACACACACACACACACACACACACACACACACACACACACACACACACACACACACACACACACACACACACACACACACACACACACACACACACACACACACACACACACACACACACACACACACACACACACACACACACACACACACACACACACACACACACACACACACACACACACACACACACACACACACACACACACACACACACACACACACACACACACACACACACACACACACACACACACACACACACACACACACACACACACACACACACACACACACACACACACACACACACACACACACACACACACACACACACACACACACACACACACACACACACACACACACACACACACACACACACACACACACACACACACACACACACACACACACACACACACACACACACACACACACACACACACACACACACACACACACACACACACACACACACACACACACACACACACACACACACACACACACACACACACACACACACACACACACACACACACACACACACACACACACACACACACACACACACACACACACACACACACACACACACACACACACACACACACACACACACACACACACACACACACACACACACACACACACACACACACACACACACACACACACACACAAAATTGAGATGCTCTACAAGCCTGTACGCCAATCGAGCCGAGATACCAAAATTCTATTTGCGGCCGGTTGGTGGGGGGGCTACCATCGATAACAATTGAACCTGTTGACCCTTTCGGGTAATGCACTGCTTCGCCGAGGGAAATTGGGGGACTTACAACGAGAGGTTTTTAACAATGGTACGCAGAAATGAAAAAAGACATCTTGCTCATTTTTTCAAGCGCTGGGGGTGAGCTAGGTCTCGTTGCAAAACTCCATTGGCACCTAACAACGTCTGCTTGTCAGGCGCAAGTCAGGGGGATCTTAGAAGGAATTAGGCGAGAGATTTAAAAGCTAAACCAAGGCCATTTTAGGACGGAAGAACGAGCTATTATCGATACCGGTCCATCGGACGACAAAGTCGGCACAAATCCTGCTACCGGAGAAGGTGAGAGTGCTTGAATGAGTTTCAACCAGCAGTTTAGGTGAAATGACTAATCGGTCCGGCGCTACAAGGCTCAACAATAAACATGCCTATTTGTTCTGGAATGTCACGGCTCTCGATTGTGCGGTCGTCAGGCAACTAGAACAACTCCTGGCCGAATATGAAGTGGATATCGTATTCCTTGCCGGAATCAACACCGACCAAGAGACTGCGAATTGCCTTCTCAGCAACATTGAAGGATTCGGGATTGGCAATCAATCCAAATTTATCTGCTTTACAACCCCTTACGTAAACCCTGAGGAAATCCATGAAATCCACAACTTGGTACTCTACCGAAAGGCGGTAATCGAACCGCCGAGCATTAGCATCGATGAATTCGCGATGAACACTGAGAAACATGACCGGGCCCTCACCATCGACATTGAGGAGCTTCGATTTATTTTTTTGGATCGTCAACCAGGCAATACGACAGGCACATGCAACGAGTTCAAGCAATGGTTCGCCGCTAAAACGCATAACCAGAAGAACGTCTTGTTTTTTGGCAGCTTCAACCTGCCGGCTAACGACTGGGACATATTTCAAACTTATCCAGGGGCCATTAATGCAGAGGTGCATCAGGGAATGATCGAGTTCCTCCAGGAATTCAAATTTACCAACGAATGGGTACGCCAGGCGTCGACTTCCAGGGGCCAGGCCGAGGTCTTATTTTCGAGTGGTCAAGTTGACGGCATTCAGCAAGGTGCACAACCGGCAAGCAAGGTTTTTGCTCAGAAGTACGATTGCAGCGAGCACAAGGCAATTTTTTTCAATGTCGAGCTTGTTCCTTGGAATATCATCACAACTCCACCACGGAGGATCATCATCAACCGACCATTTTCCCAGGAATACACCTATCCCCTTGAGATCGAGAATCGAGGAGATGAATCGTTTAACATTGAGGTTAGCACAAGTTCCGAACATTTACATCTCAACAAGGAGTTAATGCCCGGATATGCATTAGAACCCGGAGAAAAGAAGGAACTGAAAATCGAAATAGTTGAGCCCTGCACTCCCCGAAGAGGACAGGTGGATTGGGTTATCATTCGGAACATGTCGACCGATGAGGAACACCATGTAAAAATTGTCTACGATATCTAATACAATAATAATTATGATTAATCCTTTCTCTAACAGCTGCTCTTTTGTACGATTTTTGTCCAAACTAACATCGCTGTTTCGAATGGAACATAATTTTTGTAACATTTTCAATTTTTTAAGTATAACCTTTTTCTCAATGAATCCTTTTCCAATTTTCGAAAATTCACGTTGAGCAAGTACATTTATTCATTGAGTATCAAACCCGAATAAAGTCACTAAAAATCGCAGAAAAAAATGTTCGATCAAAGTTCAGTGTGCACGCGGTGAGCATGGGCTCCGGGGAGTCGGCTTTTGCTCAGGTGGTCGCTTCCGACGGCTTTCGGAATTCTCTTCAGCCAGAATTCGACGAGTTGCGGGTCGAAGGTCTAGAAATAATGCTTTAGCATATCGTAAATAGCAGCTAGTAAATGGCTAAAATTTATAGAGAAACTAGGGTTCTATACCTTTTCCATTTTCGGGGTCTCGGCAAAGTTGGCGTAGGTCCAGGGCTTGTCTTTCGAAACTTGATCCCATTTGAATGAGTCGGTTGAGGGATTACTGCAAAAAATAAAAGTTTATAGGATTTAAGAACACTAATAAATTAGAATTACGTTTGAATAACGCGAAATATAGGTCTTAGAACGTGTAGAAACCTCGCAAAAGTGAAAAATAGTGCTATATTTTAAAAACCCAAAAAATTCCATATTTTTAATCATGTAAAATATCACTAATTCTCGCCATTTTGGTACCTAGAGACTTTTATAAAATTTAACTAAACAAAACTGGAATTTTTTGGCTTCAATAGAATAAACCAAAATTAAATCCAAAATTTCTATTTATCTAGCGTAGTTTAGGAGTTAACAAAATATCTAATAATCAGATATATTTCTCTAAACTCACCCATTAATCACAAATTTTGCCAAGCTATCGACAAAAGCCCTTTGGAATTTAGCATCTTCCGGCGCCAAATCTTCGTCCTTAATCCCAAAGATGTCGAAGAGGTACTTCAGCTCGGTGGCGTGCCAGGCTCCTGAATTTCAATTATAATAACTTAATCTTGCTTTCAAAGTTAGATCGATACTTTCCTATTACCCTTATTGTCGCGCTCCAGCTTCTTCTCAAGCGACGACGTGTAGGTGATTTGGTACAGCCAGCTGGGCCAATTCTGCAGACGCCTCAGCTCGAGGTCATGGAGCGTTGGGACGACGAACATCAGATCGGAGAGGAGCTGGAAGTTTGGGGCCTAGACAGTTTGGTTACGCGCCTAGTGACGCTACGTCACAGAAAGAACAAACAAGAACAATTTTAAGGCGTCCCTTGATGCGCGCGGCGTTTCCAAGTCAGTTCTAGTTTTTACGTTTCCTGCAAAACATTAATAAAGCTACAATAATTTTGTAAATCTTTATTAATGTTTTAATAATTTTGGTACATAGATGAATTCGTGATGTTTACTTACCTCAGTATACCTCTGAACGTAAAATTTGGTGTCTGGCTCTGCCGGAGCGTCGCGCTTGATGTAGTACTCTTCGAGGAGATCGAGGAAGGGGCCCATTTTACGCCCTGGAATGTAGCTTGCAGTGTGTGTTCTGAATAATCATACCATGCTCATGCTCAGTAGCCACGTTTTCCGAGATGAATTTGAAGAACGCGTCTCGAGTAAAGTTCTTCTGGTCCTCCTTGGTGAGCCGGACGCCGTTGAAGGCAGGGTAGCCCTCGAAGCCGCTGGCTAAAAAAGGCAATAAAAAAGCTCGCGCTCTTTCACGGCTCTCGCCTCTCTCTCTCTCACTCTCTCTCTCTCTCTCTGACTTACCAAACATTGCCGATTCCTGATCTGTAAATCCAGAAAGCACCGGCTTTGGCTGCGCTGTTTTCAACATCTGATCCAGAGCATACGGGAAGAATTCGCCATCAATCCTGGGATGGAACTTCAAGAAGTTCGGATGAGTGCGGCTCGGGCCCTAAATGCATTGAATTTACAGATTTCTTGCGCTACATACAATCCTATCAACACCATCCAGAATCTCTTGTGCAGTCCTCTCCCTCATGCAGTCCAGGATTTTCCGGGTGTCTTTTTCATTGTTTTTCTGGCATCCTAGCTCTTTGGCCAGGGCGAAGGAGTTCTTAATATTGGATATTTACTGGAATACTGGAGTTTAGTCACTAATTTTGTAAAGGAACTACTTAGCCAGTTTTTATATATTTTTTAAAGGCATACCTCGACGACCGACTCCGATAGTGAATACTCGGCAAAAACTGATCCGGAAAGCTCGATGGTTTGGTGGAAATAGACTAAAAACTGTGTTTTTCAAAGGTACCAGTAATCTACCATCAGCATGAGGTGAAAAAGTTAGAGCACTGGCGGCAGAGGAGCCGGCAGACTGTCCGGATACGGTGATTTGGTTGACGTTGCCTCCGAAAGCGGGGAGGACCTAAAAAGAAGAGTTTGCGAGAGCGTGAGAGAGAGAGGGCGAGAGAGAAAGAGAATATAGAGATAGAAAGAGCGAGTTAGATAGAACGAGAGAGAATGAGAGAGAGAGGGGAAAAGAGAGTTACAGTAAATTTTACCCACATCGTGCAAGAATTCTAGAGCCGTCGCCATATCCCAGAGACCCATGTTTCCAGGCGCAGTCGGGTCTCCGAGAGAAAAGAAGCCTAAAATAGACGTTTAAAGGATGGGAATAGCATATGGAATTCCAGATTTTAGTGTTTAGCTGAATTTTTTAAAATGTGATTAGGAAAGTATAAAACTTACCAAGAGGTCCCAGTCTATATTGAATGGTGACGACAACAATGCCCTTGGCAACAAAGTGATCGACAAGCTTCTTGTAGCCATATTCTTCCGTGTTTCCGATTGCGAAACCACCGCCGTGGATGAATACCATCACTGGGTGTGCGCTTTGCTGAAAATTATCAATTTTAATGATAAGAAACAACAAGGTACTTCTGTCTTAAAACTCGAAAACGTACAAGGTCAGAAGGCGTCAGGATATTCAGGAAAAGGCAGTCCTCGCTGAAGTCCTGGCGATCATTGACGTGTGCACTGAACAGTACTATTTCTCTCTATCTCGCTCTCTTTCTCTCCCTCTCTCTCTCTCTGTCTAACTCACCCTCCCTCTCGATCACCCTCTTTCCAGTTGCAAAAAGCTAACCTGTGTACCGGGATACAAGCTGCCCGGAATCTTGTGGCATGGTGCAGAAAGTCCCATTTGTCGACGATATGGGGTTTCTAAATAGAAATGTTTTTGTTCTATTCCCGCTCTCTCTCTCTCTTTTTTCTTTCTTTCTCTCTCTCGCTCCCTCTCTCTTTTTGTAAAAAATACAAAAACCACGCCTAAAATCGAAAACCAAGGTATGTTTTGGTCGAAGTTAGACATAACATGGAAACGCCCAGCTGCAAAATTTGTTAGTTTTTTGAGCTCTGTATTTTTTAAGTTTTCGAGTCTGGTTTTCTTGTTTATTACATTATTAACGTCTAATTTCTTACCTCAAATCGATGAAAATTATCCGGGGCATTGGCATATCGAATTCCAAGGAAAACATTAGCTGTGGACCCGTCTTTTGCTTCGACTTTCAGGCCTTGGACCTAAGTGAATTTTAATCCATTTTGCACTTTTTTACTATACTTATTAATAAACCTTCTTTGGTTTTTTAACAACTTACAGGTCCGTATTTGGTGTTAACAATTGGGCCATCCTCTTCTTTCGTCTCTTCCACTGCAAAAATCCCCACCACAAGGAGGGCGGCTAGGAAAATTTGCCGCATCCTGAATATTAAATATTTTTACAAGTTCTACTCATTTTAGAAAATTTATAAAAAATAGAGGTTAAGGAAGAAATACCAAAAATTGACCCAGGACTGTCATTTTCGATTCTGGCTTGTTCTATTATTTTTTTAAAGGGAAAAACTAACAGAAACTTATAATTTTCATATTTTTATGATATCTAATTAAGTTAAACAGTTTCGTAGATACTAAGAAAAACAAAGCCAAAACTACGTTTCACCAATTACTGAAGGTTGTGACGCTCGAATGGTGTGTGTCTCGCTGACATTGTGAGTTGATAAGGCGCTTTTTAATTGTTTTCTGGTCAGAGACGGCAGGGAAGGTAGGAGGCAAAAAGTGAAGGGAAATACTTTAAAAATACCCTAAATTGTGTAATCGAATCTTTTAAAGCGAGTGGTAGGCACAAAATACAACGCAAAACTCGTCATTAATGTAACGAGCAAAATAGATTAGCAAAAATCAGCTATGGGGATTTTTAGAAGACAGGGAAAGCCAGCCTCTCCTTTACGAAACGCTTACAAGTAAGAAGCCTTGCGAGGCTGTCCTGTCCCGTGGTGCCCGTCCTTATGTGGCCCTGGTAGGGGTCAGCGAGTATGCAAATATTTGTGTATACCAAAAGGTAGGCGGGATGGGGCCGTGGCCCACCACCAAAACGGCATCGCTGAATCACCACACCAGGGTGTGGGAGAGTTGGTATTGATTAGAAGCGGGGTTTGGGTACCATTTTATGGGGACATTCAAGCTTGGTAATGGGTTAGAAGCTTCCCTAAAGGGTTATTGAAGGTCGAAGCTTGTTGGTTGATAGCTTAGTCGAAGCTTGAGGTTGATACTATAAGCTTTGAACAAGCTTGAACATCAATTTAAATCTAGCAAAAGATGTTGGGGTCGGTGGATCGAGCATCTTAAAGGGATAGTGAAGTGTAGACTTTCAGTATCTTTGTAAAGGACCACGAAGATTTCGAAAAATATAATTCTCCATTTAATGATCTAGGAAATTATGGAATCACCTTATTAAAAAATCACAAAAGCGTGGAAAAACATACTCATGATTTTTTTTAAAAACATTTAGATGCGAAAAAGAATTTTAAAGGGGCGGGGGGATTGTGGTCTATAAATTTAATCGAGGTGATTTTGAAAAAATAATAAAGTAGGGAAAATTATGAACATTAAATCAAGGTCCGCTTAATTTACGTAAACGCGTTGGAAGTTACTGTAGATAGCTTCCATATAGCTTAAACGTAAAACGACGTATTTTAGGTATTAAGCAAAATCAAATTAACGATCGATAAAGCGTGCGGAAATGTGGAAAAAATCTTTTAAAGTAGCATGGTGACACATGGAAGGTGACAAAAGGACATTACTTTACCGGGGAGCTAGGCCAAATATCCTTTTTCGATTGTTTACCGCAACATAAGAATGATACAACCGGTTCTTTTTGCCGGAAAAGGCCTTACCGGTCATTCTTGCCAGGAAAAGTTGTAGTTTGCGTTCGTTCCGATTTTGTGTGTTCGTGCTTTCTTGCCGGGAAGGGGGAACGTTTGTTCAGTCGGTGGGTCGACGAGTTGGAAAGCGAAAATCTGAGTGAATGTACTACGGGCTCGAATCGGTCAGTCATTTTTGGCAAGGTGTCTTCGTTTTTCTGCTTGGAACGGATTTTTTTCAGAAAGCTTCACAGTCTAGTTTTTTCAAGGCGTCGTCGTCGCAAAACATTTGCAAACCCAAAAATTTCTCAAATCGTGTGCTAATGCAAGGGTACGCGAAACCGAGCTCGTGACGTTAGCGCATTGACGCGTCACGTGTGCGTTGCGGCATCGTTGCAGACACATGCCACAGCTTTTTACGCGCGTTGCGGTAGCGTTGCGGTCATCGCAGGCGCGTTGCGGAAGCGTAGCGGTTCCGTTAAATCTACTCAGCTCCTATAATTTCACGCAAAAATACCTTAAGAGACGTTAGTAGCTGCGTATTCATTAAGTTGCCTCTCTCGCCCTCTCTCTCTCTCTCTCTCTCTCTCTCTCTCTCGCTCTCTCTCTCTCTTGCTCGCTCTCTCTCGCTATCTCTCTCTATCGTCTGCCTCTCTCTCTTTCGCTCTCGAAGTACCGGATCGCCATCATCATTACCCCCACTAATTCAAAAAATGTTTGCCCGGCCCCGAAACAGCAGTCGCTGCTCGTAATTCCAACAACACACCAAGGGACCGGCAACACAACGGCTGGAGTCGCAGCCAGCCTGCTAAAAAACAAATTGAAGGGCAGGTTGTTGGTGTGTCGCGGCGACCTGAGATTTTGCTGATAAAGGCCGCGGTCCGGTCGGTAGCCCTTCACTCTTTTTTGGCTTTATGAATTTGAACAGCTGGGCATGGTGCTTTGCGCGTTAAATTTTACCCTAACCAGCCCGTTTTTCAACTTTTCGAGCTCCATGAGCTGATTATGATGCTTTTGAGCTGTATGGTTGTGTATTGGTGTTTTCAAATAGAATGTTTCAATTCTTGTATTTTCAACTCGATAATATTAGTAAATTTGACATCTTAGGTGTTTCGTTGACAATTTTCACCTCCAGAAAATGGCACGGCCGGATTTACAGACCACACCACCTACCCGAAAATCCCCGGAAATGGTAGCCAAGCGGATCAGAAGGGAGATTGGTGAGTTCAGACGATTTTATAGTTCTCTCTCGCGCTCTATCTCGCTCTCCCTCCCACTGTCACTCTCACTGAAGGTATATTGTCAAGATACCATTTCTGTTATGGCAATCTTGATGACACTAGTGTTTTGGGTAGTCTCTCACTCTCCTATTCCTTATCTCTCACTCTCCCGCTTTCTCGCACTCTCTCTCTCTCTCTCTCTCTTTTCTCTCTTTTCCTCGAATTTCCCAACACAATGACCAGGAACTGTTTTAACGGGGGGTGCCACTCAGCCTTATCACCCCAAACCCGACCTCATCCCCTTTGTGACCCCGGGGCCTGGGACCATAAATTACCGAGGAGTACCCCCGGAGCTTCCTTACCCGTCCTTTTTCGAGGGTACTATGGATTCTTGAAATATTGATAAATAAATTGAAGTGCCAAGGATCCCTACCCATAGTATTGTTGAAGATGAGCTTCTTTTAGGGGCGAAAGGTAGGCTAGCAGAATTTTTTGCAGAATTTTCTGAGTAAGGCACGCTAGCAGAGATTCTTTGAAGAATTTTGCCTCCCAAACCGTGGAGAAAAAATTTATTATATTTTTGGCAAGAATTAATGAAAAAACTGGCTCTATCTAGGATTTTGAAATGATCTCTGCTTCATCTCAAAACCAAACTGGTTGTGACAATTGCAAAATTTGCAAACCTATGAATCGTCTGACAAGGGAAGGTTGTTTGGGTCAGGTGTCAAATCTTTCTGAAAATTTGCCAGTTGATAGAAAATTGAAAACGGAACAAGGTGCGCGAAGTCGTTTTCTGCACAATACCCCTAATTAAAAAGTTATAAGCTTTTTAAGTTTGCGGTCTAAAAATTGAGTTTTGCGCAGGCTTTTGCACCAACACCGCACCGTTGCCACCTTTTCTTCATGCGTAGTTTCTTGACCCTCACTTGTGGCCGCTCCCCACGTCTTTTCTAGCGCAATCGGTAGTGCGCTTGACTCATATTTTTTTGAAAAATTTTTGGCAAAAGTTCGAGACAAAAACTTTTCTATCTTTTTGCTTTTTGCTTTTTGCTCTTGCAAATTAGGGTTAGTTAGCGTAAAACCCAAAAAGCAAAAAGTTGGACGCATCAAAAACTTGAACTCGATTACAAAAATCTAAAAAATTTCGTGCTCTACGGCACTACCTACTGCGCCAAACAGCTTGCCACTCGGGCGACGCGAGAGCTTGAAAAGGGGGGAGGCCACAATGAGGACCAGGTCAGAATTGTAGGGTCGTTTCGTGCTTTTTTATGTAACTTCAAAAGCCTATAACTTTTTAATTTGGGGTATTGTGCAAAAAATGAGATTAAGAAACCCCACTTTATTTTTGATTTTCTATCCACTGGCAAAGTTTCAAGTCGATTTGACACCTGACCCAAACAACCTTCCCTTGTGAGAATTCTACCGCATTTTTCAAGTTGAATAATCCTTGTCTTTTTGTGGTAAGAGGTCGATAGATTCTTGCTACAAAACTTTGATTTTCTATTAAGCTGCTGCGACCAATAAAAAAATTACTGGGCCGGCCACTGCTCGGGGCGAGGGGCCGTGTGGGCAGTGCCCCCGGGGTTATCCTCCTCCGGCCCTTTCTCTGCTCCCTCTCTGTTGTAATGCTCTCTACCCATGTTCTACTAGCCTTTCTCTACTCTCTCCGCCATTTTCCCATTCCCTCCTACCCATCTCTTCCCTCGTCTGTTGGACCATCGACCGCTGCTGGCATAAAGCCAATTTCCGGCAGTGGCATCTCGATATTTTAAGAGTATTTTAAGTTTTAAACGGCTGTTGATGGGAGGGCTACTGTTGTTCATGGCATTAGCTTTTCTTTATATTTTATATTTTCGTTTAAGCCTGATTTTGTTACATATTTCAAAATTTTGCCAGTTTGAAACCAACTGTACGACTTGACGGTTTGTGTATTTTGTATCGCGGTTGTTTTTTTATTGAATAGCATCTATTGAGAAATGCTACTATTTAGCGTAGAAGATAGCCAGTTTGTCGACGCTAATTTGCATAAAAACCTTTAATAGGCCTTTTTGGCGCAATATTTTTTAGCATATTTTCCTTATTCAATTAGCAGATTTTTAGATATCTTTATTCATCTATTTTTGAAACTTCATAAACTTTAAAATCGGGGTCGCTTACGCCATTTAAATAACGGACTGCGAACCTAACTTTTTAAGGCGATTTTCTAGTCTAGTTTCCTTAATAAAGATGTTTTGAACCTTTTAGAAGCCAGATTAAAGCTAGAACGGCTTATTATCGTATAAAATGTTGAAAATGTCACTAACTTTCTAAAAAAATCGATTACGTCATTTAATTCATCAT